TGAGAGGTCCAGCGGTCCCTCCACCTACCATCAGGGGTCGCCGTGGCCCGCAGACCCTGCCAGAGAGCAGAGAGCTGGGGGTCTGGACGCCTGCCTCTACCAAGGACATAAGACCCCCTCACCTTGTGGCTGTGCTGTCCAAGGGCTGATCCACGTAAAGGGCCTGGCTCAGGGCAAGAAACGGGACCTCATTCGTCACTATTACTATCATTATTATTCAACTTGTCTCTTGCAATGCGTCTTTTTGAAGTGGGAATAGAAAGTAAAGCTCAGTAGGAATCGTGTGAGACAGCACTGAGACGATGTGCACGTAGGGGGCGCTCTCAGAAGGTGTGGGCTATCCTGTACCCCTTCTGCCGAAGGGAACACTGAGACAGGAAGACAGGAGGCCGGTCGTCTGAGCAAGATCGGCCTGGCTGTGACTGCCAGAATAAACTGACAGACTCCCCCGTCTCTCTGCCCGTTCTCCACGGGGACGCCAGAGGGCGATCTTACAACGTAAATCAGATCCAGGCCTATTTACTTAGCTAACCTGGTTTCCCTTCTCTTCCCTCTCTCGGAATCCAATTCCCCCTCCTGTGTCTCCTCCAAGCCCAACAAAGTCGATCTCGTCTCCCTCCTCGCCAACCTCATTACCCGTCCTGTAAAGCATTCCCACCCCAGGGCCTTTGCACTGAGTGCCTGCCTGACTGCCCTCTCTTCCCATCTGTGACTAGAGCTAACTGCTCTACCGCTCCTTCTCCCATCCCACTCCCTCCCAAACCCCTCTTCCCAGGCCCTGACCTCTCAGAGTCCCTGACTCCAGCATCCTGGGACTTCAGTCTAGCGAGGGGTGGCTAAGATGCTGGGGGCGTTGTCATGTCTCCTGCCTTGCACCTCATTCTCTTCTGGGGTAGAGGTAGGGCGATTCCCGCAGTTGCGGGGGCGGGGGCAACTGCCCTGAAATCCTGGGGAGGTGAGCGGACTGTGTGTTCCTAGAGACAAGGCTGCCCCTCTCTGTCCTCAACCTCACGACTGCCTGGTTGATGGGGAAGTCCTGGGGAGGGCTGAGGGGTGAGGAGAGCTGGGATCTGTGTGTGGGGAAGGTCTCCGACTTCAATCACCCCACGTTGGTCGTGGGTCGAAGTTTCCCGCAGCTTCTGGTTTAATTTCATCATCTCTCCTGGGGCGGGGTAGGGTTAGGGAATCTGGCAGGCAACTGGTCTCTGTCCCACTAGACCCCGCCCCTCATCGACCCACCTCCTCTCAGGGACCTCGGCTCGGCTCGAGTATTCAAGACCCCTAGTCTGGTCCCTCCCCTCGTCTGGCCCCTCTCCTTGTGCGGTCCCGCCCCAGCCCTGGGTTCATCTTCTATTGGGGGTGTTGGGCCCGCCCCCGGATCCTGGCCCCGCCTCTTATCGCCCTGAAGCTTTTCCCCTCGCGAGAGCTGCTCCTGGCCTCGGGCCTTCTCCACCTCCCGGGAAGCCGTCAGGGTCGTCTGGGACAGAGGGGAGGGTCAGAGGGGAGGGTCAGAGACTGGGATTCTGGTGGCTGCTGCCCTGGGTCCCTCCCCCAGGCCCTGGGCTCAGAGGGGCCCAGGTCCAAACCGCTTTCAGGTTTCCCTCCCACCTTACCCGCACCCCAGTCTCCTGCCTCCAAGAATGACCACAGCCTCCCACCCTTCGCAAAAGATGTGATCGTTGAAATAGGGGGTTTGAGACACCCCCCCCCCACACGGGAGTTTGGAGGCTCCCCATGACCAAGCCCTAGTTGAAATTTCCAGATCCCCTGGACCAGTCCACGGGAAGACTTAGAGGGCTCCTAGAGTCCAGGTTGCAGAGGTATATCCAGGAGCAAGTTAAGTGCACTGTGGCAGTTTCAAGGTCCCCGCGTGCAGTTTCAAGATAGGAAGTCCAGTGCCTGATGAGGGCCCATATCCAATCGTTAGTAAAGATTTCTGTTCCCCTAAGACTCCAGGAGGTGTTTCAAGACCCTCCACACCAGAACCCTGGAGGAAGGGCCGGGAGGCCCTCAGACACTGGTGGGGAAATTGAGGCCCTGATTTAGGTGCTTTGGGGAGTTTTAACATCCCCCACTCAATATCACTGCAAAGCTCAGGGGTGGGGGGGTGGCAGTAGCCTAGGGAGGGGAGCCCAGAACACCTCAACTCAAACCCTGCCCCCTCCTGCATGTTA